CAATGCATCGAGATATAGCTTCACAGAAGCCGTTCATAACACGGCGAATCGAGGATCGTATCGTATCAGCAACGTTTATCATGTGTTTGCAACGAGTTGAAGGCCCGATTCCGTTTGCGTAGAGTCACTACGTTGCTCAAGATCTGATCCTCACCTCTTGATAGGAATGGAAGACTGATATGCTTGCCGAGCGTCGCAGGTCGCCAAGTCGAGTGGGCAGCGTCGTGTTGTAGGTTAAGTTATGCCCTTGCTGATCATCATCAGTAAGGTAAAGTAAGGGTGTCTTCATTCAAGGAGGCAAAAGCAACGATTGGGCAAGGTCGCCAAAGGCACAGATCAGTAATGTTCCGCATATATTGACTCGTCATGGAATGTCGTGGTCGAGCTTAAGCTTGAGCCGGCCACTGGTTGGAACAGCGCACTGCCAAGCCAATGATGCACAGCAACCTGGAGTTAACCGACTCCAGCACCTTCGAACCTCTCAACCCCGACCTCCACAGTCCTTTCTGTCGTTATACAAGTTTTCATTCATAATGGTGGGCTTGAGGAATCGTTGTCTAGCTGGCTTGTTCTCGAATCTCTATCCATCTGGCATGGTATTAGCTGTCCCACAACGGACCGCATCGTTTTCTGCAGCGCGGTTCGGCAGGCGGCCGTCGAGTTCTTTCGGCTTGTCTTCGTGTCCTGCTCCTCTCCGGGTCATGAACAGGCCATCAGTTTGTTTCTATTCCAGTGGAACACAACACCAGACCGGTCCAGGTCCAGGCAACCAATCCAGCTCAACTAATCAGCGTTCTTCGGGCCCTGACCCCACGTCGTCTGCCCATGAAGCACAAGACAAGGGAACGTCTGGATCTTGGGGAAACGATGGGAGAGGAAGCTTGTTCCCGATCACGGGGTCTCCTCTGTTGGACGCCGCGTTGACAACTGTCGTGGGTCTTGGAATAGGTGAGTCCTGTCACGCCACGCCACGCCACGCCACGATGCGTTCGCATTCGATTTCCCGCATGGAATGGTCACGAGAACGAGTGGGGCCTTGAAAGGAACATTCGTCCGTGCACTGCAAGAGCAGCACCCCTCAGGCACTCCTGAAGTGGTTTACTTCTCTTGCTGTGACGGAGTGACAGGGTTGCTTCTCCTCCTGTCCCAGTTACCGTGCGGAACAAGTGACTCAGGTCCTGCATCATCTTGGTGCGGCCCGATCAATGTCGTGGCGATATGATAGCGATTTGCTCAGAAGATTGTGGGGGCACTGTTCTCTGGACCTCATATCAACACGCCTTTGTAGCTTTCATTTTGCTCACACGGTCATTCCCCTAGTGTTCGTTGGTGGTGTGGCATACATAGCCTGGTATAAGAAGACTGTCTTAGACAAGGTAAGCAAGCTTCTTCGCTCCAAATACAGAATCATCAGTGATAGACATACACTGCCTTTAGATAGAGCAAGCCTTTTCCGCGGGTTATGATCCAGCCCTTGAGCTGGCTAAAAACGGGGAGGAGTTGAGATCCTTCTCGAAAGGCCTCGACGGCGAAGTGGACGATGCTCCCTGGACGGGACATCTTCGTCGACAAGAGCAGGACATGATCGATGGTATCATCAAAGGCCAAACGAGAGGTCACTATTATTTTCTCATTGGCCCGAAAGTAAGGCTGATTTTGCTTGTTGTTGGTGACGGCAGTTAACTAATCCATGCTTGTCAAGGGAGGAGGCAAATCGACATTAATACTGGATGCTATGCGCTCCATTGAAGCAGACGGTGTGGCGTTCCTAGATGTTCATCCGGATCTTGAGGTCTTTCGGCTGCGTCTCGGAAAGGCACTTGACTATGAGTTCAACGAGGACTCGCAGACAGGTCTATTCCAGCGACGAGATCCGAGAGAAGGTACCGTTTCCAGCAGCCCGTGATAGGGGCCATGCTCATTTACCATGGATAGGTGGCCCAGCATTAGACATTGAAAGGGGTAACATGCCATTTGTTCTTGGCGAACGTTAACGAGCTAACCTTTATTCAGCATTAAACAAGTTGGAGAAAGTTGCCTTACGTTGTGCACGTCGGACAGGTAAACCACTGGTGCTCGTTTTCAACAACATCCAGCACTTCAAAAATGATGACGACGGTCGACACATGTTACTGCAACTTCAGCAGAAGGCAGAAGCGTGGGCTGCTGGAGGTGCGCACTGCCTTCATTCACGCTCCACTCCATCACTAAGCACTGTTACATAGGCATCGTCACGGTCGTATTCAGCTCGTAGGCAATGCCGTCTTCTTTGTGGAAACACTCACTCAATGTCCGCATTAGTGATGACTTTTGGCCATTTCTTCTGATGCGTGAGTTCCATTGAACGTTCATTCACCATCGACTGCAACTTTTTTCTAGGCAAAGCAGCAAGTCGGATGCATGTGCGTTTCATGTTTGCTCATCGTCTTCGCTGCGATTGAATTTAAACACCAGGTGCTCTCAATCCGTGACTTGTCGTATACCACAGCGCGCCGTGCACTTACTCACATGCGCATCTCCCGGAAGAAACATGAGCCCGATGAAGACGATGTCGAGAAAGCAGTGTCCACAGTGGGTGGTCGTGTTGCGTACCTGGGCAAGGTCTCGCGGGCGGATGACGTGGTCAAGGGTGCCAAAGAACTCCTAAAATGGGAGAAAGCATGGCTGCTCAGCCAAATTGGGCTGATCCCGGACTGCGACGACGACGTTATGGATGAGGTGTGTTTTGGTCGTGGATGGTGCTGGGCATGGTTAATAGTCCCGGTGTACTAGCAAAAATGGAGTTCATGCTCGTGGCTCTTACTGAAGGAATTTGTCAAGTTATACCAAGAGCGCGAGAAGGAGTGCAAGGTGGCCGGGGAACCCTGGGATCCTACGGAACTCCCGTCCATACCCTATGTCTGTCCGCGTCATCGTTTGTATCCTCTTACTGATTTCCTCATCAGTGGCGCTGTCGACAAATTATGACAAGAGCCGACTTCATGGAAGGTGAGTAAGCAGGCAATTCATACAATGCTTTTACTGAGCTTTCATGCGTAGACCTTGATCGAGTGAATATTGTCTCCGTTGATGTGAGTGAACATCACACCTGACCTTGGAGGGTAGACTGACTTCCTTTGCGTAGGTCAATCTTGACGTGGCGCCCGACTCGATGCTCATCCTGCTTGCTGCGCGCGAGGTGGTGGAAGAGGATGGTTTTGATGACACGCTGAACAACGTCCGTGATCGGGTGGACGAGATTGAAAGCTTACACCGGACAAGAGAGCTCACGGTGTGTAATTTCAACGTCATGCCCCATATCTGAGATGTAATTTTGTTCCTGCAGTTCAAAGACTTAGTCCGCGGAGATACTCTCAAGCTCGAGGTTAACAAAAGCTATTCGCCGGATCAATAGTGCGGGGTATTGGCCATAGTGCGTCACTTTGCACACTTGCATTATTGTTGCTGCTGTAGTTCGATGATAATGGAAGGCAGAGGTATTCGAATTACTAGTATACTGGGGGTTATGGCCGAGATCGTTTCCTCCGATCATCGTCCGTTTCGTCAGTCTCTTCTCTTGCCCTCTTCGGGCTTCCGCACCTGCTGTTCGCGGGAGTAGTTTGCAGGCTTTCAATGACTTCCTCGTCGCTTTCAGATTTGGCCTCTTGCCACATCTTCGCCCTCTCGGCCTTCCTCTCAGATCTCAACCACTCCATCCTGAACTTCCTAGGCCCTTTCTTCATGTTGCCCGTGCCGTCCCAAAGCTCTTTCTTTTCCTTCATTTTGCCCATCAAGAACACCTCGGCATATTCCCGAGTCACGCATAGCTCACGTAAGTCTGGGGTGATTTTATTGAGGATGGTACCAGTGCGGTCGAGCAGTCGCTGGCTTTCGGCGATGCGAGCCTCGATGGTGGGGACTGTGTTAACGAGAGCGGTGAACTGACGAAGGACATCGACAACCATGTTTTCGTCGGGGCCCCCTTCAGCACGAGGGTCGTCAGAGTAAACACTCTGTGCATCGACGTCTTGCCCGTTGTGGGACTCGATGGGAACCGCAGGAGGAACAGCATCTGCTGTGACAGACACGGCGGTAGCATCCACGGGTGGCTGTTCCAAAGGACTGGCGGGGCCGTTGCCCGAGGGCTGGACAGGGGTCTCTTGAGGAGAGACTGCGGGTGCGTCCGTGGATGGGTCTGGGAGGATCTCGCTGGACGGTCCCGCCTGCGGTTCATCTAGCCGGGGTTAAGGTGGTAAGGTGGTGAACTGATTCTGACAAGGATTGTCTATTTACCTTTAACGACGACGTGCTCGTGCCGTTCATCAACTGCTTCTGGTATAGTGGTGGCCTGTATAGCACCCTTGCGCGCTTTCTTCAAAATATTTCTTTTCGTTGCGGGCGAGATTGATGACTTTGCAGCGTCTCTGAGGTTCGACAGATGAGCCCCAGAGCTCGAAGCGTGGAATTGGACTTGCTCAACTACTGGCACCCCTTTAGGATGCTTCTTGATCAGCCTGCGGATGATGTCTTCGGTCTTTCCGACAGCGCGCACCACTTCTAGCTATGGCAAGGCTGGCGTCAATCCTTGCTAATAGGATGTCAGGGGACAAGTCAAACCTTGGCGAGAGATTGAAGTTGGGTGCGGGATAACTGGCGAAGCTTAGGGCTGTCCATCGTGTGAGCCATAGCAGTGATATTTCAATCAAGGTTATATCGTTGACTCAAGGTTGGCGCGTAAGGTGGGGGAAAAGTTGACTGAGAAAAACTCGTCGGGGTCTCTTAGATATTCCATCCACAGGAGCCAAAGCGGTACTTGTCAAAGCGCGACACAAAGCAAGCATAAATTAAAACGGAAAGTGTGGACAATACGGTCGTGGAAAACATCCGCGAGTCCTATCGCTATTGTTGACCAAATCGGTGGTTGCTTTGACCAAGTTCGTGCCTCGCACTGGTACTAATTGATACCTCCTGGAAGGTGGTTGGAATGCATTGATATATTTGCATGTGTGGAAAGAAAGCATGGCAAGATGGCCGAGCGGTCCAAGGCGTGTGACTCAAGCTTACCTAAGCTTGCCTGCTAAAGGCGGGTCTTCTCATCTCCGTATGGAGGCGGGAGTTCGAATCTCCCTCTTGTCAACTTTTTCCCCCAACTTTCGACTGATTTTTTTTGCACAGCTTTAAATGATGTCCTCCCGATCGATTACAACATAGCCTGCAGATGAGCACTCTATCGTATGAACTTTCTTTTTTTCCCTTGTCGCTAAACGGCGCTGACGACACGGACACTGCCGACTCGCAGTTGCTTTGACCTCTCCCAAAAAAGATCCATATGAAATCACCCGCTTTGACCTGTAGGTCCACTGTTGTAATCTAATCGAATGATCCACAAGAGGAACAATAAACTTTAACTCCGGGTCCATTGTTCATCTATGTGGACTGATTACATTACTATAAAAATACATCGTAGTGTTTTGGGGGAAAGATTCAACTCTCGCCCCTCCCTCAGTATCCCAGTGAGCGAACAATCAAGCCCCTCATCCATCTGATCATAATTGCCCACCTCAAACAAATCACCAACCGTTGTAAGAGTATAACACCGTACTACAGCATGGCAGGCATCCGTCGCAAGTCCAAGTCTCAGTGCGTAGCGCCCAAAGCTGTCCGAAAACATGAACCGGTGCCACCGACGCCCTCAAATTCCTCGGGGACCCGAAGCCTGAGCGAGGTATCCCTCCGCAAACTTTCCCGTATCGAGCTCCAGAAGCTCGCCCGGGTACGCGATAATGCTGTAGTAGCGTTGAAGTAGGCACTCACACTCATTCGTGGCGGCGGACAGGAGCACAAAGTGAAAGCCAACTTGAAGAGCGATGTTATTATCCAAGAACTGTTGAAGCGCCAAGTCCCTAAGAGTTCACGGTAAGCACATCACAACTAAGCATCGGTCGACAGGGAGCTCATGCATTCCCCAGACACGCCGAGGATGATCCCGAGGAAGGACCGTCAAGGAAGAGAGTGAAGCGTGAAGATGACGCTCAACCTATTGAGCTGCCACCCACGCCGGAAACTCAAGAAGCTCTCCTGGAAACCCAGTGTCCACGTGAAACACACATCCAAGTCCCCGTCGAAGGTAAGCATCCCATATACTCGCATTACTCAGCGCATCTGACCCACCACATTTTCACATCAGCCCAACCACCCAGACCTCCATCACCGCCACGACCAGCATCGGTATCCCAGGAAGAGGATCGGGCCAAGGACCTCGTGTTTGACGAAGGTCTCTTCAGCGGCACCGAATCCGAGATGACCGAAGTCTCACAAAACGGGTACAACACACCCATCTCCTCGCGCTCCAGCACACCCTTTCCTTCATACGTCTATGACCTCGAACGCTCCGTCACGATTATGCAAGAGATCTCCGCCAAAGACCAAGCCCTGCTGAGTCAGGTGGCCACTTTGCGCGAAACTGCTGCAAAGCTCCGCAAGAGAGCTGGGGATGTCCGCGACATTGTCAAAGCACAGAGGACCCGGAGAGAGCGGATGGACACGTACTTCAGGTATTGGCAGCAGATGGATCCCGATTGGCATAGGCAATGGTTGTACGGAGAGAAAATGATGCCCGAATATTTGTTACGGCTGCGGGATGACGATGCGTGAGTTTTTGTTGTTGTTCTGGTGATCGGGAAGAGTATTGAAACACGCATGTTGCTGTAGTCCTGCTGGACCGCCCACCATCATCAATGCCAAGAAGGCGAATCTCCAACCCGCCTGCGCAAAACCACCACTCGCGCCTGAACAGGCGACATCGCAAAAAGTTCATACTTGACTTGTTCAGTGGTAACATCCAGACGACTTGGGCTCTCGAATACGTTGTAAGAGTATTTCAGAACAGCTTTATTATTAGGTAGATCTTTTATAGTCAACCCGATTACTTTGCGGATAATTCAGAAATGTACCCAGCTTCGGGTCGATCCCCTGACGGGTCACTTGCATCTGCAACATTGAATAGAATGAACCGCGTGAACAGCCGTCGTGGGTCGTTGAAGGAATGATCGCGTTTGACCTTAGGCAAGGGTGATCGAAAAAATTTCACCGAGGTTTGTGGGTGTAGATCAAGTGTAGCAGTCGTAGAAGAGGATATGTAACAATAATTTAGATAATAATTTAGATAAACCCTAACGACAGCTAGTAAATACTTAACATATTAGTCATCCTCCACTGCCAAGTTTGTTGTCAGCGTCGCTTGGTTCCTTCTTGCCAATCACCGTCGTCCTCCTCCACTGTATACTTCTACTAACCATGCCTTTTGGCCTTACCATCGGGACTGAGCGCGCTACTTCGCTTCAAGTGTGTTTTCTCGCTTCCTTCATTGCTTTCCACTGACCCGTGTCTTTTTTTCGTTCTATCGAACAGAATGCGATACAGGACGAACTTATGAAGCGCGGGTTCAGTCCTGATACTGGTGAGTCCTTCGAACGAGTCTAATGGTTCAGATTCAGAGTGCTGACTTAACGGGCTGTATAGACCCGGTTATGGCGGAGTACATCACCATTATGATAATAAATAACAAGACAGCCGGTACGTCCCTACCTCGTTCTTGGGCGGCTTGGCACGAGAGCTTTTGACTATACTTAACGGTTTTTCCTTGCGACAGCTCAGATCACATCTGAACTCGAGGATTGTGAGTCTGTGCTTTTCTAACCTCTTGACTGCTGCTGACATCTTTGCCATGCCTGGCGTGCTCTAGTAATCGGGTCTGATTTTGGTTCGTGTGCTTTTCCTCGTTACTTAACTTCGATGGAGCTTGCTAACTACCCTCTCAATCCAGACTCCAGTTTCACCGACTGGTTATTCGCCGAAGCAGCTAAAGGGGTACTTGAATCCGAGATTCCACCATCAACGTCGCCATCCACATCCACATCCACACCCACCTCCCTCCCCTCAGCGGCCTCCCCCAAACCCCAGCCCCAAATTGAAATCTCAACCCACCTCTCATCCTCGTCCACTGAACAAAAACGACCACCAAACGCCCCGCGTGCTGCAGGGCCTGGTAGCGCCCCACTATATCAACAAGCTCTCTCCTCGACACTTGGTTCCTCACATGGTCACGGGCAGAAGCGAACGGCATCTGTGCGGTCACCTTCGCCAACCGGTCACGGACCCTCAAAAACGCGTCGTATGGATGTGCCCACTGCCCCGCGCGCAATGCAAAGTAGCATTTCAAGGGGAAATGAGGGGGGCGCAGGTACCGGCGCAGGTGGAAGCGGAAGGAGTTTGTTAGACCGGGTTGGTGGGCGAAATGGTGGTCCCACGTCCTATACACGCGGGGACGAAATCCAAGCTCGTATCGACGCCGTCACCAACGGTGGCATGCCACCCGGTGGAGCGGGACCCGACCCCAACATGATGCTGGGATTCCAAAATGGTGTGGGAATGGGCGCAGGGCTCGATATGGGAACGGCGAACGTGAACGCAAATACGATGATGCTTCAGGAGATGATGATGAACCAGATGGCGCTCATGGCTCAGATGGCATCTTCAATGGGAATGTTGAATCCCACAACTGGACAGATGATGGGCGGCGGCTTCCCAGGGATGCCACAGGGGGACATGGGGATATACCCTGGGGGTGGTGCGTTTGGGCAGGGACAGGGACAGGGCCAGGGGGCCAATGGACGAGGAAGAGGAGGAGGAAGAGGAGGCAGAGGTCGTGGTCGAGGTGGACATTTCGGATCTTCCCCTGCGTCACCTTCGGAGATGCCTATGCCCACGCAGACACAAGTGCAGGCCCAGGCTCAACCAGAACCCAGTGTTTCCCAGTCCTCAGAGCCTCCTGCGCCTCTAGCAGCTCCCAGGCCTACTCCCGCTACCACATCACAAGCGCTCCCAGCACAGCCGCAACGGATACCATATGCAGTCCCTGAGCGTCCTCAGTCTCCAACGTTGTGCAAGTTCGGCACCAAGTGTACGAATTTGCAGTGTAGGTTTTCGCATCCTTCGCCAGTCGCAACGGCCGAGAGCGGTGTGGTGCTCAGTACGGAGGCATGCGAGAACGGCAAGGATTGCAAGGATAAAGATTGTATTAAATCACATGTTAGCCCCGCTGTTAACCCGCCCAGTACGCAGAATCCTTTTGTTTTGTTTCTACTTATCCATTCTTATTTCTAGCCGCTGAACTCCAAAAACCACCATCGACGCACCCACATCCCCATGCAGCACCCTCTCCGGCACACCCGCCTTCTCATCCCGTTCCCTGCCGTTTCGGTGCCTCCTGTACTCGTCCCAACTGCAACTACACCCACCCGACACGTCCCTCCACCACACACTTCAACCAACAATGTCGCTTCGGCTCAGCATGTACGCGTGGTGCTTGTCCTTTCCAACATCCCGAAGGTCGCGTGCTACCCACGTCTTTCCACCGCGGCTTATCGACGAGTGCGCCGATGGTGAATGTTCCTACCCCCGAGGCTGGGAGCATTGGCGGTGCGGGTAGCGTGCATCGAAGTGTGACATTTAATGCCCCGAGTAAGGGCGCTGGGAATGGAGTTGCGGGTAATGTGAAGGAAAAATTGGAGAAGCAGATTAAGGAATTGGAGGCTACAAAGAAGGCTGTTCAGGTGGCCGAAGCGGCGGCAGCGGCTGGGAAGAAAGACGAGGTGAAGCCTGCTGTTCCCATCGCAGCGTAGGGGCATAGCATTTGGATCCTACAATCCTGCCTCCCACTCAACCGAGCCACCTCGCGGATTCGATTCCTCGGCCTAGAAGAATAAAGTTTTGTACGGACGACCTGACCAAAAAAACGAATTTTCTCGTTCTTTTCTTTTCTTTTCATCGTCGTTTTTCTTTTATTATTGCAAGGGCATATCCCACCTCGCTCTACTTAAACTAAACTCTAAGCCAGTGTCTGAAAGCATGTATGTAGCATACGTAGCTGCTTCGTTTCTCCAAAACCGACCAATGTCTATAGATACAATCCATGCCTTCTACATACGTATTTCACATCCCTTTCAGTGTTCTGGTTATCTGTCATAGCACTAGAATGCGAGGGGGCAGGGGCAGCGGAGAAGATATTGCTTTCAGGACGCCATCAAAGGAATGATTGTCTTTTGCTCACCTTGTCTTTTCTTGGCGTGTTTGGT